CACACACACACACACACACACACACACACACACACACACACACACACACACACACGTATACATTCTGTGGTGTTTTTTATAGAACTGTGTACAGCTGATGGCTCCAAGCACATTGTTGTGTTGGTCTGTTGACTCAGCACAGGGTCGACTGCCACTGTCCTGATCGCTCTGCCAGGCCCCACTAAAACTAACCTGTAGTGAGAGACTAGCCAGGCAGTYCACGGCTTCATGTCATGTCATACTCCAAGATGGAGTTGCAATTGTTTTACATGCTAACTGGCTAAAAAAAAAAATAAGCCAACATGGAATCTGTGTAAATTATTCTTCTGCTATTTGGCTAATTTTTCAAGATGAGTGAGCTCCATCAAGACATTGTTTTTTATTCTGCACTAATAACCGTTACCAATAGGGCTGGGCTGTATTGCTCATTTTTATACTACAGTATGACCTTTAGGGGAAAAAAAAGGGGGGTATACGGTATTACCGGGTTTGGGGGGGGGTGACTCTGCGACTGTGGCGTRTTGAGTAATTAATGACTGCTTGTGAGTGTTTACATACATGAAGCCAGAGAGAGGCGTTTTAAAAAACTCAGCTGTCAGAGCAGCAGCAGGAGTCACAAAATGAGTTTACCTCTTATGCCCAACAGATCAAACAGAAGTCAAACTATGTCTTTTTAGAGTTTAAAGTTTCCAAATTACCTGACTCTTGTGGTCATTTCAAGGCTGCTGCATGCTTTCAGCAAGAAAAGCCTTTGGGCAATAAAGTTTCTAGTCATTTCCTCATCTGCAGCACGAGGTCATGTGTCGGAAAGAAAGTAAAAGTCACAAAGTTTATATCCAAAAAGGAGTCCCACTTTTTGCTGAACTTGCATCTGGTTGTTCTGTGAAGCGGTCTGTCAGCAACAGTCCAACAGCTGTCCAGCGTTTGGGAGCCAGCGAGGGGTAACCTCAACATGTCGGGTGATCAGAACATGCGTCAGTGACAACATGGGGTGTCTTCTGAAATGTTTGTCCCAGGGGTCATATGTGCTTCACCTCACGTGACTCGTACGTCATCTTTTTTTTATACCATCGTATTTAGATACCGTGGAATAACAAAATACCTTCATACCACCCAAGCCTAGTTACCAAGCCTGCCTGGAAACTGCTTGAGTCTAATTGATGGGATAATAAACAAAGTTATTTACATCATTCCATGGCACAGCTTGATTTCTGACTTTAACAATCCACCTTTAAAAAATGGTTTACCTACTTCATATGTGTAATGAGTCTCCACCTGAAGTTGGAGTCAAAGACCTCAGGGCCTTGTTCATGGAAGAAGACTGAATAGAGTGAGGTTAATTTAGTGGTTCAGTACAGTGTTTGCAGTGATAAGGAGTTGGAAAAGGAGGAGAGGTCTGAGGATCTCTGTTTTGGAGCTGTTGCTTCCTCAACAACAAACTGCAGGATTTACTATGATCTCGCATGATTTTTTCCTTTCATGTCACCAGAGATGAAAAGCTCTGGATCTGTGCCTGGATGTAAGTGTAATTCAGCACAAATGAATTATGGGGATAAAGATAATAAATCAGTCAGGTCTGTCTGGACGGTGTTTCCATCCAATTTTAATGCAAATTTTGAGTGAACTTTTAAAATATTGCAAAAAAAAAAAAAGAAATTTGCATCAGACTCGGTTCCATCAACTGGTAAATCTTTGCTATGGCAGAACCTGTTTGGTAAATGTGTTTCAATCTACCCTTACCTTTTGTGCATTAACTCTGTCAGAAAATCCAAAAACCACCTCAAGAGCATTGAAACCTTTTTGCGAAATTGAGGAAGTTTTTGAAAAATTTTCAGTTTCCATCCACCTTTTCTAACAAGATACTTCAAAATGTGCATAAAAAACATTGATGGAAACATGGCTACAGAATGCCTTATTCTCCAGAAGTGTTCAGTCTTGAGTTATGTTCATTAATTATTAAGCTGCTGGAAGCTTAATGTCAAATGATTGCACCAGAATAAAAGAAACTGCAGGTTTCTTCCAGAATCTAAGCAGACTTCACTACTTTTAACAATCTGCTGCACTCAAACAACAAAGGCCTAATTTCAGCTTGATGTGGACTCTAATGCTCAATTATTACTGCACTTCCCTTCTATTATACATATCTCCATCTGTGTTCCTTGGAAAAGTGCTTTGGAATTGAATCATGGAAAGATGTGTCACTTCCTTCCAGCCCCGACCATAAAATGTATGAAGTTCTGTCTGCGGTCAAAATAGTTACACTTTTTAGGCTGAAAAAAAAAAAAAAAAAAAAACGAAGGAAACCTTTCATCCAGAAAATCCAACTTGTTCTACATAAAGCAAACCTATGATCTGCTTGTTTCTAAGCCTGTGTGTCGGTGTCATCCCCTCAGAGTGACTGGAGGTGAGCTGTTTGAGGATATTGTTGCCAGAGAGTACTACAGTGAAGCTGATGCCAGGTCAGTGTTGGCTCTGCTCTACATTTTCTGCATGCGTGCACTAACACATGATCTGTGGTCATGAAGGCATATTCAGGCTCAAACTGAACCGACATTAGAAACCAGTCTGAGCAATAAATATAAAACTAGTGCTTCTTATTGTGCTGCCTTCTATATGCCTTTTAAACCAAAAATAAACTATTTCCCTGTCTCCTTAATTTAGTTCCTCCAGGAATCTCTCGTTTAACAATTTGAATGTACTTTTAGCTTTATTAGTTAAAGTTTGAGCTTAAAACGTAAAGGTTTAACCATCTTCATTATTTCACTGAGTATCTTTGACCAAATCAATCAAAGCAACTTGAAACTATCTTTAGATGATTTTGTTTTGCTCTGGATTTAGTTGACTTGTTTTCCCCYGTGGTGATATTTGAAAGGTTGTATCACCTAATCAGAACATGCATGGGTCCTAATTGTTTGTTTGGTCTATTATTTGAAGGAACAGTTCAGTAGTTGGTTTGGTTTCAGTAAAGTTCAGTTTGCAACCTTTTTACTTCTTTCAATTCTTAACTAAGCATAATAATAATAATAATAATGTGAAAAAACAAACTTGTAATGTTCTCCTGACTTGGTCTTTGTCTGATTCAGTTTTTATATTGGGACAAACTGCACCAAAATGTTTCTGTTCAAGTAAATCCGTTTTAGCCWAAATGTAAATGTATTTTCATGGCAAAACTGATTGACCCATAGTAATAACTGTAAAATCTGCTCTCTAGCTCAAGTTTCAAAACTGTGCCATTTAATTCATCACCTCCCAGTCTGATAAAAACCAGCCCCTTGCTCTGCGCTTTGCTTCGTACAGAGGGTCTGCACTCTCGACTAATGAGAAGCTATTTCTTGCCGGAGGCGTGTATTGGATCTGATTTACCTGAGCTCTTAACATTTGACTGTGACATGTGGTGCGCCAGCTCGACCGTGAAGGAAGCTAAGCTCAAAAGCCAACTGGAAATTGTGTGTGCTGTAAACGACCATCCTACTGAGAAAAATACRGAGACGAACGAGACTTAACTTGGAAGCCTTGTCAACATGATGCGATTTCTAAACTGAATGGTAAATGGACTGAATTTATATAGCGCTTTATCAAGTCCCTCTGGACTCCAAAGCACTTTACACTTACAGACATTCACCCATTCACACACTGATGATGGTAAGCTACATTGTAACCACAGCTTCCTTGGGGCACACTGACAGAACCGACTACAGGCAGACTGAAACAGATCAGAAAATCCACATCGTTCACAATGCCTCCTCCTGTTCATTGATTGCCCCGGATGAAATTCTACCGGAGAAATCTGTCAGTGAGTAGCCTGGCCCTTGCCTTCCTAYGCAGTTCCGCTCAATTCTATTTTCCCTTCTCTGCTCCGTCTGGGATTTTTCCCATAGACAAGGATTTCGCTGGCAGATTTTTAGCAGGGCCAATCAGAGAACGGAA